TCCGCTTGGGGATAATACCAATCCAAGGAACATTGCGCATCAATTGTGTCTTTATTTCGGGATTCGTATCGGTTCGGCTACGCGTCACTCAAGTGCAAATTGGCTGACGTACACCGACATGAAAACCACTGTCAGAAAGAATGCACGATAGAGTTCCAAAGAAAGATAAGGAAATGCAAGGGAATTGAGAGCCATTTTCAGTCTTTTTCACTGTTTCACAAATATTGTTGGCAACTTGAACCTACCACATATAGACTGTGGGGCTAAGCTGTGCACCCAGGAATCAGTGAAAGGCGATTATCTCAAATAGTTGCACAAAAATGCCTTGTGACAACATGTTGAGGAAGGTACTAGATTCAGATAGGATTATGCTCCGTCGTTGCTAGATCGCGTGATCATTACTCACAGGAATGACATTATGTTGTTACAGTAGCACCCACCTCTTGGCAAAAGCGACCACGGCATCATATCGATCGAAGGGTGCACGCGAGAACCTAGAACACCATCCAAGCTGATAAGAAATTTCGGCTATGTGGATCTAAGGAATCTCGAACTAGGGCATCGGAGTTGGTCATGGATGCTCCGGAAGGAGCTATTGTAGAAGACCACTGCATATCAATCAGGGAGGTACCCGTGGATCTGTAAAACGAATTCGCTCCGTTGAAAACCAGTTAAAGCAGCCATAGCCAGGGTCATCAAACAACGAAATAGATACTGGAAGAGCTTTAGAGTTTTCTTAAACCAAAGAGCGTGGATTCATTATGGAAGATTGTGGTGATCCATGCCTACATGATTACGCCTACTCTGGAGCTGAGCGTTAAAGTTTCTGGACAACTAAGATCAGTCGAATTTGAAAAGTGACGTCAATGACTCGCGTACGCGTCACGGCTTCTGACTACATTGATGGATCGTGCCAGCCAACCTGAGACAATGCAGACAGAAGCAGAAATATGCAAGTGATACAGCAATATGATTGGTATAAGCCTAGATAACCAATGATCTTCTTTTGTACATATTATTTAATCGTTATCAATAGTTATCAAGAGAGACACACCTACGAAATGTCATCAAACGGTGAATCACATACGTCCGAGAGTGATGATACGAATGCACCCGAATGAATGTGTAGGAACAAATTGGAAGAAGCCACCACTGAAAGAGACAGAGTTAATAAGACAAGAGTTGAAGAACCTGAAGTAGGGGAACGACTCATTGACCTTCAAGTCTGAATCATTCCGCCCTACACGCCCAATGCTACACACAGTCCTACCTAAGAAAGATATCCGAAAATTCCAAGGGGATCCATCGAAATATTGGTCATTCATGCGCTGTTTCTCAACCTCGGTGGATTGCCTCCCAATCAACGATGATGCAAAGTTAGTCTATCTCATTCAGTTTTGTGAAGGACCAGCAAAGGAAGCCATCGAAGACTTAGTTATCTTAGATGGTCAGGAGGGTTACAGAAAGGCCAAAGAAACATCGAAGAAGCGTTTCGGGCAAAACCACATGATTGCTCATGCTCACATAAACCGCATCACCGATGGAGCACCTATTCCCATCAATGAAAACCTGAGTCTGATGACGATGGCTCAACAGATGAGGGTATGCGAGGCCACACTAACGCAATTAAATTGCAAGTCTGACATGAATGCTTACAGAACGTTGGAGTGTATTGTCCGACGATTGTCAAGGACTTTACAACTCAAGTGGGCTGAAGTAACCGCAGATTTGACATTAGAACAAGATGAACCCCGGTTTACCCACCTTCGTGCATTTATCGAACGTCAATCCGAGATAAGGAACTCAAACTTTGGTGTTCTGGTTACCACTCATCCATCACCAAGGAAGCAAAGGACTTCGGGATTCGAGGCTGGTCGTAAATCTACAATCTTGGCCATTCAGAAGAGCGACGACGAATTGTTAGCTGTTTCTCCAAAGATATGGTGCCACATTATATCGATCAGTGCACCAAGTTCCTCCGGCTGTCTCCGGAACAACGTTTTATTGCCGTAAACGAGAGAACGTTATGTCGTTTATGTTTGAAACCAAACAACAATACTCAATCGTGTCGTTATCGCCGTCTATGTAGTTCTGAGAAGTGCGGAAAGGCCCATCCCATCCTACTCCATTTTTCGACGGAGCTTCTCCCTCTGCGAGAGGCTAATGTACACTATCAAATGAAGGAAGAATAAGTAGAGAAAGGAACTCCGTTGCGCTGTGCGTGATTCCAGTCAGAGTTCGATGTGGAAACACAGTTATCCAAACCTTGGCTTTTTGGACAACGGATCTAATAGCACTTTGATCGAAGAAGGATTAGAGAAACGACTTGGGTCAATAAGGAAACGCACGTCCTTATCTATCAACACTGTTTCCGGCGTTTGAAGCTTCATTTTCGGTCGAATCTTGTGACGGGTCAAACACCATCCTCATAAAAAGGGCTTGGACGATAAACCGACTTCCCAAAATGGAAAGAGTTCTGCCTACAACGGAAGAATTAAAGTCATGGGAGCATCTCCAGAGTGTCAAATTTTCCCATGCCTTCGATATGCGAGTAGCGTTGTTAATTGGTTCTGATGTTCCCGCGACCCATTGGGTATTATAACAGCGTTTGAGAAAGATCGATGAGCCTTACGCGGTCAAAACATCATTGGGATGGAGCTTAATGGGTCCAACTTCACGTTCATCAACGAAATGGTGTTATGCCTCGACAGTGAACGATTTAGAGAGACAAATACAACGTCAGTACGATAGTGAATTCAAGAAACCAAAGGAAAGGAGAGCCAAGGAAATGTCCTTGGATGACAAAACCGCTTTATCAGTATTTAAACGATCTCGGAAATTTGACGACACTCGCTTTGAGGTCGCTCTCCCTTGGAAACGACTTCATCACCTTCATGACAACCGCTCGATGGTTGTGTCGCGTCTAAACAACCTCGTGAATCATCTAAGTAAGCATCCAAAATTGAAACTAAGAAAACTGCGAGGCGTTGGAAGGCTATTTTTCCGATGGACATGCTACTCATCTACGCGATTCTCGAGGACAATCTGGTCGAGTCTGGTATTTACCTCATCACGCAGTGCTGCATCCCAGGAAACCCGAAAAAGTCAGGATCCTGTTCAACTGTGCAGCCCAGTTCCGGAACGATTCATTGAACAATAATTTACTAACCGGACCCGATTTGACTAGCAGTTTGTGTGATGTACTAATGCGCTTTCGTCAAAGAAAAATTTCAGTTTCTGCTGACATCAAAGCAATGTTCCATCAGGTTCGTGTACCTGATGAAGAGCAGGATATTTTGAGGTTCTTATGGCTTGGCGATAGCAATATGAGTGGCCGACCGATCGATTGTAGAATGTGCGTACACCTGTTAGGAGCAAAATCTTCTCCCAGTTGTGTATCATTTGTCTTGAAAGTTACTCTCGAAGAAACTAACGGAGATGTCGGTTCGCCGTATCTGCCAGAATCCTTAGAACATTTTTACGTTGACGATTACTTGGCGAGTCTTGATAGCGTAGCAGAGGCTCAATTTCATGGTACAAACATAAAGAGCCTGCTGAAATCGAAAGGCTTCGAACTTACGAAATGTACAATTAACGCATCAGGGATTTTCATTAATGAGATCGATAAAAGTGGAGATACAAAGTCCATAGAGCTCGATCGAGCCATAGACGATACGCAGAGAACCTTGGGCATGATTTGGAACACAATGAGCGATACACTAGGTTTCTGTCTGCGTTCGATGCCTGCAAAATACACCCGTCGTTCTCTGTTGTCATACATATCATCCTTTTTTGATCCTCTCGGTTTGATATCCCCCTTACTACATCCGGCAAAATTGATATTAAAGAGTTTGACTCAAATGCAAATTGATTGAGACGTTGACATACCTGATGATTCCTTGAAGGATTAGCTCAAATGGTACAAGACTTTCTGTTTGATCAAGAACGTAATGGTTGATCGTTGCATAAACCCAACAACAGCAGAAGTCCCTCAGAATATACAGATCCATTCGTTCTGCGATGCTAGCGATAGAGGGTACGGCACCGCCGTCTAATCAAGGACGTCTAATAACTCGGGAGAAGTATTCTGCTCGTTAATTATAGCAAAATCCAGAGTAACTTCATTGAACGCAATCACGATCCCACGAGCCGAGCTCGTCGCCGCCGTGTTATGCGCCCGTTTGGTCGACGCGGTACGACGCGAATTGAGACTGACAATAAACGCTACGTACTATTGGACGGATTCCATGATTGTGCTTCACAGTATAAAAAATCGATCAAAATGGTTTCCAACGTTCGTGGCAAATCGGCTGGCTCAGATACATGAACTTACCCAAGTCCATGAATGGCGGCACGTGAATTCCAAGGAAAACCCTGCCGACCTCGCTTCAAGAGGAATCTTACCGACGGACAGCCATAAAATATCGAGTTGGTTCGGGGGTTTATCATTCCTCAAGAGAACCGACGAAATTTGGTCTACGACGGGTGAGAACGTATCACTAGCTGATGACCTGCCAACAGTATGTTCAGTTTCCTTGCTAACGAATGATCAATGTCCCTTCTTGTCGAAGTTTTCTCATGTGACTGATTGGATAAAAATGAAGAAACACTTCGCTTGGCTCTCTCGGTTCAAAATGTACATATCTTCGAAGCTCGATCGACGGTTAGTATGCCCAAGGGGAAGGTTATCGGTTTCGGATTTGTTACGTGCAGAAACGGATATTGTTAAACTAGTGCAAGGTCGAGTATTCGAGCACGAGATCAAAGCGTTGCGGAGAAATACCGCGCAGAACAGTGCTAAATCAACGATGGCACTATTAAGAACCTTGCCATTACGTAATTCAGCTCCCAGTTAACGGATGGGGTCCTACGTATTAGTGGAAGGTTACATTTCGCACCCCTTCCCTCCGAGATGAGACATCCAATGTTACTACCATCTGGCCATTTTGTGACTAAATTGATCATTAAACACGCACACCATATAGATGGACATTGTGGATTAGAACAAACTATATTAGGCCTGCGGAGAAAATTCTGGGTTTTTAAAGCGCGAAGTAATGTTTGTAAGGTCCTGCGCGATTGCTTCCACTGCACACGTTGGGTTTCGCGCCCTTGCCAACAGGCGATGGCTCCGGTGTCCCTGGATAGGCTAGCAATGCATGAACCACCGTTTACCATCACCGGGGTCGATTATTTCGGACCCTTTCAAGTGAAGAGAGGTCGTGGTATGGAAAAGCGATACGGTTGTATCTTTACATGTTTTACAATGCGGGCCGTGCATATAGAAGTTGCTCACAGTATGAATACGGACTCGTTTCTGTGTGCTTATTCTAGATTCAGCTCTAGAAGAGGGAATCCACGGAAACTGTACAGCGATAATGGGCTTATTTTTCGAGGTGCAGAAGAAATCATCAAAATTCCTGGAACCAATCAAAGGTCACAGATGAGTTACTGTCCAAAGATTGTGAATGGTCATTTAATCCGCCGAAGGCCAGCCATTGGGGTGGGGTTTGGGAAAGACTTATCCGTTCGGTTAGAAGAGCAATGTTAGTGACGCTGGGCAATTCGCTTGTAACCGATGAAGTTCTCACCACAACGATGACACAAATAGAACGCATTCTCAACGATAGGCCGCTAGTGCGATTTACAGTTGGATCGGACGAGTTCGTGACAATCAGCCCCAACATGTTGCTTACGCCAAAGTGTTCTGTGTTACCATCTGAGGAGCGCTGCGCCTCAGTAAGATTGAACAAATCCTGGAGAAGAACTGTCCAGTTATCGACTGAATTTCGGAACGCATGGATAAAACTTTATCTTCCCACCTTAAATGCAACACAAAAATGGAAGAGAGAAAGCCGTAACCTGGGAATCGGCAATCTAGTGCTCCTAATGGACAGCAAGGTTCCACGAGGTCATTAGCCCAAAGCCTTCGTTGAGGAAGTACGCCCGGGCGTAGACGGTTTATTTCGAGGGGTCATCATACGGACAAACACAAATAGATTTCGACGAGACATCAGAAACCTATGTTTACTGGAAGCCAAGTTTGAAGAAAGTTCAGAGCAGGAAAGCTCAGGGCGGGGAGTGTAAACTCAAAGATTTACGATGTGGCCCTGGCGAACCTTTAGTCAGTGGCCGATATGCTTCCCGATCGGGTTCTATCACACCCCACACACACATCTGCCCATCCTACCTACACGTGGTCACATTCGTTGATTCAGTCATGTGACACGCCACACACGCACGCACACCGTGACAATGCTTACCAGTCATGCGACACCTACACGCACTAGGACAATGCAACCAGTCATACGACCATACACGTACTCACCGCGCCTGTCACCTCACCACTGTGACCCATTCATGCATTCGTGATCCCAG